GTAGTAGTAGTAGTAGTAGTAGTAGTAGTAGTAGTAGTAGTAGTAGTAGTAGTAGTAGTAGTAGTAGTAGTAGTAGTAGTAGTAGTAGTAGTAGTAGTAGTAGTAATAATAATAATAATAATAATAATAATAATAGTAATAATAGTAATAATAATAATAAGAGAAAAATGTATCGTTTATCCCTGAATTTTTCAGTAATTACTTGCACGGTTTATACGTGAATACTAAAATGTGTATCAAATATCTCTGAATTTTTTGAAAATTGCACGTTTTACTCTTGAACATTGAAAAGTGCATTAAATACTCCTGAACTCTTCAGAAATTTGGAGCAACGCACTCTCTAGTCTCTATCTAGTATTTTGGGACCAACAATACAACATTTTAAAATGTTCAGGGGTATTTGGTGTATTTTTTAATGTTCAAGGGTAAATCATGCAATATTTGAAGTGCTCAAGGGTAGTAATATTAATAATAATATTAATATTAATAATAATAATAATAGGAGCAAAAAACTTTGTAGTTCAAATTGACAAATGTCTAAAGTTCACAAATGTCCAAAGTTCATGATAAAATTTATCTAAGAGTAAATTCTAAAAATAGTCATTTCTAATGAGATGCTTTCTCAAACCAGTCTTTGATAAGCTTTAATTATTAAAATGGTACTTTCTGTTTGAGATTTATTTCCTAAGTAGTCCTTTGTAAAAAAAAATTACTTAAATGGTGATTGATTGGAGAATATTTTGATATTTCTATTACATAACTTAAAGTAATTCTCAATATAGTCATTTCTATATAAATTCATATAAAATTAAAACAATTATTGACTATACATAATCCATTAATTATTAAAAATCTATCACAATATTTGAATCAAATACACGTCCTTAATTAGAAATGGCAATTTTGGAAAGACAATGATAAATTTGAGAACTTACTCTAAGTTTAAATACTAAAAATACCAAAATATCCTCCATTTAATTGAGATTTAAGTAACATTTTTTACGAAGGTTTATTTAGTGAATAAATCACAATTATAAAGTACCATATAGATAATTAAACTTATCGAGTACTAATTTGGGAAAAATCTCATCAGAAAAGACCATTTTAGAAATTACTCTTTATCAAAAAATAAAATGTTTTGTATTTTTAGCTCCAAAAAATTACTCTCGGACGACATAAGTTTTGTTGAAACAATTTGCATGTCCCTTTATTTTTAAAAAGATATAAAGGACCCTTAAATTTTACGAAGTACTGTAATGACTGGGGGAGGAAATTACATCCACTATTACCTCCACAAGCATTAATAGATTTTATTTTCCTATTTTGCTCTTAATGATTTATGATAATAACTCTTAGGAAGTATATCACAAAAAAAGAACCATATCATCTAGAGTTTCCTAGCCCCTGTCTTGATAGAGGAGTTAAATCACGTGATATATGTCCATTTCACCTTCATCTTTCAACTAACAGTGCTAAACATACATTAAAAGTGCTTGAATGAAGTTTCACAAATGAGCATCATCCATTGATGTTAGAGATCAGATTTTCTTGTCAAGTCCTTATAAACACTGAGAATCTACAAACAACTCAACCTTTTTCATCATCCTACACCTTTATCCCAACACTAAGTTGGGATTTGTGACATGAAGTTTACACTCACTTACAAATTACAAAGTCTAAAATTAGCCCACACTCTAAATTCATGCATGAAGCATGAAGAAAGAAAAGAAAAAAAGACATAACTGCACTTTGGGTCAAGCCATTTAGCACACTACTAAAAGGCATTGTAAATTTGTAATCATCATCCATAGTTATCTACCTAGACTTACAAGAAGTTAACGTGGTGGCTGTGCACAAAACTTCATCCATCTTGAAAAGAAGGTCCAAGATGCATTTGACACTCCCTATACTCTTCAAAGTCTAAGCTACTCGTACAGTCCAAGAAAGCATTCTGCTGCTGTTCATAACGGCATATGTAATTCAGTCCAACAAGCAGTTCGCAGACAACTTCCTCGGTCTTGTCAAGATCAGCAAAATACAATGTTTGGAGCAATAGAACATTTGTCCTATCGATAACATGATGCTGTTCATAGTTGCGCTCAGTTTGCCAGCTGATCATGTTATGCGCCAGTGGGGAAAGCCAGTTCAGGATCTCCTCTAGACTCTGCCTCCATCTGTACGCAACGGGCGCATCATATATCTCCAAATTCTTCATATATGGTTTCAGTTTAGTCTTCAACTTCTTTCTTAGACTCTCCGGTAACATCTGGTATAAATCATCCCTGGCTTCGTCGCCGATTAAATGTGGGTATTGAAGAAGCTTCTGCAGAACAATAATGATGTTTGCATAGTGCAATGCCAGAGCAGAACCACCGACGGTCGAAGGAAGAGCAAAGAACTTTAGTCTGCTTTTGGGTCCAAATCTTGTACTGCTACCAACAACCTTAGAGGTAACACTACTTAGCAGTTTGCTCGGAAAACTACTGAATCCAGAAACCAGACTGGTATCGTCGATTTCTTCATGCTTCGGAGAGGAACTCAAAGTTAAACACTCCATGAGTCCGATTCCACATGCAAAGTTGAAGTCTTTTGGACTAAATAGCCCGCCACCGTGGCTCCTCCCTACACTTCTTTCACTACTACTAGGTCCTCCTGAGGGACTGAATCCATTTCTCTTCCTCAAAGCTGGTCTTACCAAATCAACAGTGGTGCATTCCACGCCGCCAATCTGACTGGAAGCCCTCCTCACGATTATTCCTTGGGAAACAGTACTGATTCGCGCATAGACCGTACAGACAGTCCTAGCTAACAATTCCACGACCTTATCGTAAGTCTGATTCCAAAGAGAAACATCCTTCAAATGCCTCACATCCTGCTTCTGCAAAGCCAACTTCTGCTCACAAGCTTTCCAAGCCTCCTCATGATGGTTCTGTTTAAACTTCGCCGCAGTGGCTTCCAGTTCATTCATTGCCTCCATCTCAGTGTACAATCTAGAAGTAGAGCTCACACATCTATCCATCTTCCTTATCATCCCTTCCATATCCTTAACCAAAAATTCCAACTCCTTCACATCAATAGCCCCAGCAGTTATATCCCCATAGACATGCACAAACCCTTGCAACGCCGGGATTGTGCATTTCCTCCCTAACCTAGACACCATACCAGCAACCCTATTCAAATCATCCATTTTCTCAACTAAGGCTAACTCCATAATCTTAACTTCATCATCAGATACCAGGGTTCTTATCCCTATGGAATTCAAGATCTCACTCTTCAGCCTAACAATCTCATGGTCACTCAATGATCTGTGCAAGTGAATGATCATAGACATCACATTAGCAACTTCGAAAGAGAGTATACCTAACAATGGCTTCCCGTCACTCTTCTCAGACGATTTCTTCGAATTCTCCAGAAGCAAAGCCTGCTTGACATTGCTACCGACCTGATTTCCCATCCTCAACAGCCAAGGCTCCGCCACCATTTCCGCTCGCGTCCCCGGGGCTGAACTTGTAAGCGACCGCGATCTCCCCGATTCTCAATGATTCCGTGCCGAGGAAAGGGGAAACAGCTCTGATAATGGCGGATCGCGCATGGCCTGAGATGCAGAGAGAGATGTGGAATCGATGATTACCAGCTCCGGACAATCTCCGACACAAGTGCAGCAGAAGTGGGAGGAAAGCAAAGGGACATGTGGAGAGCTTTTTGAATGTGATTTTTCTTTGGCAATGATTTCTTTGGGAAAAAGGTAATGGCGGATTTGCGAAGGTATTGACTGACAGTGGGGGCAAGCAAGATGGTGGAGGAGGAGGCATTCGTGAAAATCTCTAAAAATCAGGTATAAGTGGTGAAGAGTGTGTGACTTTTGAATAATAATAATAATCATAATAATAATAATAATAATAATAATAATAATAATAATAATAATAATAATAATAATAGTAGTAGTAGTAGTAATAATATTAATAATAATAATAATAATATTAATAACAACAACAACAATCCCTTCAAAATAATAATAATTAAAAATCCCTTCAAAATAATAATAATAATAATAATAATAATAATAATAATCGTCATCATAATACTATATTTGTTTCAAAATGTTTGCCACATTACGTAAAACGGAGTAAATTTTAAATTTTTTAACTCATTTTATTTAAATATTGGTATAGAAATTAAAAAAGAAAATTTACATATTTAAACACTACGTCATAAGTTTTCCAAAACAAAAAGTGACAAAAAAAATTTATTTTATCAAGTAATCAATGAAAACGTAAAAATAAATAAAAATAGCCATGATTTTTGAATAGTAAATTGTGGTATTTTTAGACGAAGAGAGTAATAATAATAACAATGAAGATAATAATAATAATAATAATAATAATACATAAATTTTGTTTTTGAATTTTGCTCTACTATAAATAACATTTAAGAATTTGAATAAAAAAATAATTTTAATCAAAATCATCGTAAAGAGTAATTGTTTTGGATACAGGTAGTAACTTGTTCGCAATGTTTATTTAAAATTTAATCTTAGGGTATACCAAAATGAGGTATTTCATTTGTACACTAAGCAAACACAGACGTCTAGTGTCCGTGATCATAAACACTAAGTACATGTGTTTAACTGGTGTACAAATAGGATACCCCATTTTTAGTATCCTAGCATGGCTCTTTATTTAATATAGAGTGGTTAATAGATTTGTATAGTACTTTATAGTTGGTGTGTCTTAGATAATATTTTAAGTTTACGAAATTATTCTTTTCCCTAATATTTTTAAAAAAATATTAAGTTTAGAGCATTAGCAATGACAAGGCAAAAATGAAATAATACACATTGATATGGAATATTTCAAGCAATAAAAAATAACATAGTCACAGTGTGACAAATGAGTAGAGTGTCGTAACATACAGTGGCAAGTCCTTGTTTTTGTCTATTTTTGAATTTTTAAATAGTTTTTAATTATAAAAAATTATTTTACACATCTATTTTATTATTAAAATATACGGAGTATCTATTTCTTTTAAAAAAATATTTCTTTTTAAAAATTAAAAAAAAATGGAAAGTCATACCTTATACATAAAATGAAAAGTGGTGAAATGGCTATGAAATGTCATAATTCGAGCAGTATTTGCTGACATAACTAGGAAGGACAAGGATAACCTTACTATTGTGGATGTTCTTATAGATTGAGATTTTAAATTTGAGATTGAAAAAGAAAAAGGAACATCATTAGTCTCTTTCCTTCAAGCCTAGTCATGATAGTTATGTGAGAGTATGTTATATGTAGGCCCATGCTTAACACATTTTCTTAATTAAATATAGCGAAATGCTAGGGTTAATACTAAATATTTACAAAATGCACAAACTTACCCCATATATAAAGTAATGGCCTCACATAATTAAAAATAAAAACTATAATAAAGAAATAATAAGTTTGTGCAATTTGTGAGTTTTTTGTTTGTGACTTTAGTATTACTATTAAATCTAATAAAAATTAATGTATTTATAGAAAAAATGGATAAAATTTATTCTATTACATAAGTAACGGTGTCTATATAACAATATTTTTTCTTTGTGCGATTTTTTTTTTTAAAATATTGTTATTTTTAGTTGTGCTACTTTCTAACGTTTCAAAATTTCAAAAAGGAGAAAGCTTGAAAACTTCAAAAAACAAAAAAGGAAAAAAAAAGGAACTTTGAAGTCAAACCCCCAAATGAACGCTACCCACACGCTTCGTTTTCAACCAGAGTTGACATTTGATTTCTGCTTTTCCATTTTCGGTTAGTAATTTAGTCTTCCAACCATTGGGTTCTCCAATCTCCATACTTAGAGCACTCGCAATGGTTATGAAGCCCCGGAGCTTCAAACTTTCTCTCTCTGTCACGTCAGCTTTAACCTACACTCAAAATTCACTGGAAATGGGTTTGAAGTCTCGGGGCTTCAAAATTGGGCTTCAAACCTTCATTTTTTACATTTTTAAATATACATCTTCTAAAATTAAATTAATAAAATGTAATTAATTTATTATTTAATTAAATTGAAACACGAATAATAAAAAATACATTCATTAAATAAAAAAGCATCAATAATTTAAAAAAAGATACATTAATAAAAAAAACTAAGGTAAATTATATTTCTCCTTGATCTCTTTCATTCGTTGCTCATAGATCATTCGTCCAAACTCCGACAACGTCCCGGGGTCGGTTTGCATGACTTTCATCTCAGCCTCCTGCTCCTTTAGCTTCAACTCCTTCTCTTTTAGCTTCAACCTCTCTTGTTCTTGGAGATTGAACGCTCGAAGTTGTTCAATCATTGCCCGGCCGATTTCGTCGCGAGGAGAAGCGGAAACAGAGGCGGACCCTCCCGAACCCGAGGCAATGGATTTTGCCTTCTTTCTTTCCATCGGCCGTGGAGTGGGGTCTTCGTCATCGGAATCCGCAACGTTGAAGAGAGGGATTTGATCGCTAGAACCGATAGTCTCGTCGACCTCAACCTCGGCGTCGACGGTGGATCTTTTCCGGAACGATCCCCCGTCGGGATTGTTGAGTTGTTGCAACTTCGGGGAACGATTCAAAGTCCTCCAAAGATCGATGGGCACCTTGCCTTGGTTCTCGTCGTCTTGATACTGGGTCGTGGCAAGCCGGAGAACATCGGCGTCGTTCGTGCCGCTCCTCCGGGACCGGGAGCATCCCTCGTAAACTCCCATAAACTTTCGGAGTTTTTTGTTGATGTGGCTCCATTTGGAAGTGAGTTGGTCCCGGGTTCGGTAGGAGCCGTCCTTCTTCATCGCCGTGAAGAACTTCTCCTCGATATGATCCCACATCGCATCCTTCGTTTGCTCCGTACCTTTAAAAATATATTACACAATTTTTTTAGACACCATTAAATATAATATATAAAAATAAAAACATAAATATATTACAAAAAATAAATTTTTAACCAATGATAGGATGCTCAGAGACGTCAACCCAAGCCGACGCCAATATGCACTCCTCCTCCGGCGTCCACTTTTGGATTGACCGTGCTGCCTCGGTCAACATGCTTTTGGCTTTGTGGCTTTTTCGGCGTGTACTTTTTTCGATCCGGACGGTTCCAGTTGAGTCTCCGGAACCGAATCTCGGTCGACGTACCCCGATTGTTGCGTCTCGTAGATCGGCGGTCGATCACCCCACTGTTCGTAGAACCACATCGCGGCGTCGCTCGGCGGGAGATCGACGGGAAAGAAGCCGGAGCCGGAAGGATTCATGTTGAAAATTGGGAGGGGGGTTTGAATTTTGAAATTTAAAAATTGGGAATAAGAAGAGATTGAAGATGGTGATGGTGTGAGATATTGGGAAGGGGGATTTGAATTTATAAAAAAAAAAAATTTTTGAATTGGGGGGTGCAACGGCTCAAAGAGCCGTTAGGGGGGAGGGGGAGATGAATGACGCTGCGTCATTCGTTTGACGGACGCCAAGTAACGTCCGGGTAATGCCGCCGGGGCGGTGTTTAACGCCTCCGGGGCTTGAAAACCGGCATAACGCCGGTCGGCGTTATGGGTATACCCACTGCCCTTACCGTCTCCAATGGAGTTGGTCTTAGGAGTAAATTCATGAACAAGATTTTTAATGGGTAATTTACTTAAATATGATTTGAACATAATGACTTTCTCAATATATGATCATATGTTTTTATTTTATAATGTAGGACCATTGATCATTATCTAAATGTGCAGCATCACTTGGACATTAGTCTTTTCACTAGTCATTATTAAGTCATATTTAGGGAATAAAAAAGTTTAAGTTCTACATTAAGAAATGACTTATGTTTTAGTCATAATCGGTACACATTTCACATTTTTTAATTACTTCAATGACCTTGATTGGCATAGTCCCACAAGGCTGAGTAACACAAAAATCAAATCAAAGTTTTTCTTTCATATTTAGGGAGCTGCGTGACAAGTGTTCTAGTAGGTATCACGTAGACATGTTATACTTCCTAAGTCCCACAAAATATTTCTTATTTCTTTTTTCATTCGTCCCAAAATATTCATCTCTTTTTTATTAAAAAGTCACTTTTACCTCCATTAATTCTTAACCTACCTATCACATCACACTTTTTCTTTATTAATTTATTTATCACATCCTATTTTATCCATCACATCAAAGGGCATTTTTGAAAAGTCAACACCAAAACACATTCCTTTAAATCTTTTAAAAATCAAAATGAAAAGTTTTTTACGGAACGGAGGGAGTACGTAATTAAATCCTGAAAAAAGTAATCAATTGTTTTTGAATTTGGAGAAGGTATTAAATACATCACAATATAAAACTTTCTCCCGTACTTTCATTTCATTTTAGGCTTCATTAAACAAAGTTAACACATTTATCGTTCGTTTATATATAAAAAAATATAGATTTCATAATAGGAAGTATTTTTTTCTCTCTCTATAATCATATTTTTAAAAATTCCTTCAAGTAAATGTGCCAACTTTATAATGGGACGAAGGAAGTGATGGACATCGGGCCTTGAGGATAAAAAAGATTGGCCCAGTATGCTATTTGGAATGCCCATGCGGTTCGGGCCCAATGAAGTAATAAGATGTGGCTCAAGTACGTACTGACTGGGTCAATGGAAGCATGATTTACGGAATTGGGTCTAGGCCTGGATCAACTAATGAGTGGGGCAACAAAATTCACTTATCGTGAGTTATTGATGACTGATTTTTCCGTCCACAATTGACGGGTGTCAGATCAATCATGGCGAGAAAACACAACGAAGAGGATCAACTAAATTTTAGTATAATTGAAAAAACTATGTGACCAATGGTATCATAATAATTATCAAAGAATTTTGGTGATGCTGAGTGCACGCTATGTTGAGTTTCTTAGAATTAGAAATCCGTTTTAACGGAGGTTTCAAGTGGACAGGGCCCCCGAGCAAGGTTCAAGGGGCGGCAGCCCCTGCGGGGTCCAAGGGGCTGAGCCTCTAGCTGGCTTGGACAAAGTTATATATTAAAAATTCAATTGAATTTTTAATTTTCATATTTCCTTAAAAGAAATTTTCGGAAAATGATAAGCACCGTTTTTTCTCAAATCGCACGAAAGGACACATTTTGGACGAGAGACACGACCGAATGCTTCATCCCTTCTGCGGCTTTATAAAATCCGTTGATCCTTGGCCACTAAGTATATAGTTCGGGAATTCACAACGTATTCATACTTGTTCTTGATAACTTTAAGTTTTATCTGTGTTATCTTCTTTATCCCCAACAAATACTCCGTAAAAGGCAAAATCTCCATTGTATCCCAAGCTAAATTAAGTCAATATGAGTGGTACTAAGATCTTATTTCCAATAGTTTTCTTATCATTCATCGTACCTCCATATTTGGTGAATTCAGAATGATCAGGATGAATGATCATTTAACTAGCAAAAAGTATAATTTGTTTACTACGGAGTAGTACATTATCTTTTAATTTTATACTAACATGTGCCGGTGTAAAATTTGGTGGCACTATGTTAGTAATACTCAGTATATAGCGTGTACACTAAATTCAAAAAAATGTGCCCAATTTTATTTATATGGATAAAGCTATTTGTACTCCAAGAATTTGTATCTCATTTTGTACATCACATGATGCACCAACATTTGTGTTGGTATAATGCTAATTTTTGTTGACGCACCAATGCTTTGTGTCAGTGTAAATTTTTGTTAACGCACCAACACTTTGTGTCAGTGTAAATTTTTGTTAACGCACCAACACTTTGTGTCGGTGTGAACCATCAAAATGTTGATGCATATTTTTGGTGTACAAATGAGGTACAAATTTTGGGGTACGTGTAGCATGCTTCTAAAAATAATCTTCTTTTCATTCTAATTTAAATTGTCTATTTTGATTTACGATGTTCGGCTAGAGTTTTTTAATGGGCAATGCTAGGAGTACACAAACATGGGGTTCTCCATATGTACACCAAGCCAACACAGACATAGACACAAAATGTACCCTTAAGATGCAAAATAAGAAATATTGGTGCATATCTTTGGTGTACCCCTCAATACTAAAATATACTTCTCTTAAATCTTTTAAGATGCAAAACAAGAAATGTTTTGTGAGACAAAGAAAGAATTATTTAACGATATTTTTTATATATTTTATATTATTAATTAGTTATCCAAAATGGTAGCATTAATCGAATGTATTTGTTCCCAAACAAAGCCTTGTTATCATGGATGAGAGCCTTTTTGGGTCAAAGATAAACTTCAGTGGGCTTGATGTTGAGTTGTGGTGAAGCACTAATCCATTACAAATTGAGTACTAATCAACATCTATAAAATTAGTGGGCAACAACTAAAGCCGAATATTGTGTTAATCACGCAATTGCCTTTTGAAATGAAAAGGGCAACCCTTTTTTTAACAAACAAACATGGAGTAAAACCTTTTTTACCCATGCACTAGTCATTCTAAAGTTTGCCGATATGTAATACTCCGTAACTTTTTACAAACAATCACTCTATTCATGTCACATAAGATTTGAAATTCGGAACTCATGAATTTTTGAGGTTAAAACTTACGAGAGTTTGATTTTTCACGATCTCCGACATTACAATTTGACCATTAATATCTATAAATATAGATAGATATATTTTATAAAGTTATAAAATATATGAAGACTAAAATTAAGGAAAATTTCAAGGCAAAAAAACAAGGACAAATTTCAAAGTGAAATATGAGATAAGAGTTAAGTGCACCGTTTACCCTCGTACTCTTTAAAAATTACATGTTTTACCCCTGAACTTTAAAAAGTGCACCGATTACCCTCGAACTCTTCAAAAATTGCACGATTTACTCCTGCACACTAAAAAATGCACCAAATACCCTTGAACAAATTAAAACGTTGCATTATTGGTCCTAAACTATTAGATGGGGAGTGCGTTGCTTCCACGCACAAGAATTGCGAATATAATTCATCTAACCCTTGTGAATTTTCTGAAGTACCTTTACCTAAAATTGCCGTCTTTCTTTAAATGTTCAGAAGTAAACAATACAATTTTCGAAGAGTTCAGGGGTATTTGGTGCAATTTTTATTGTTTAGGGGTAAACCGTGCAATTTCTGAAGAATTCAGGGGTATTTGGTGCACTTTTTAATGTTCGGGGGTAAACCATGCAATTTTCAAAAAATTCGGGGATAAACGGTGCACTTAACTCTATGAGATAATGCTATAAGGTAGTGTTTAGCAACTAATATTTCATTTCAATTCATGCATTTAAATTCCAAAATTTAAAATCTTGAATTTCAAATGACAAGGATAGTTGCATGGATTTCAAATTAAGCTTTGTTATGAATGAGAAGAATTTGACTCAAATTCAAAATTTTTAAATTTCTCAAACATGGAATTTGAGCCAAATCTAGATTTGAAATCCAAATCCATGTTCTCAAATATACCATAAAATCATTTCAAATTTTGTTTTATTTCAATTCCTTGTCAGTAATTACCTGGATTTAATTCAACAGGTCTAGAACAGGAATTTGCCGACTCCTTCCGGGAAAAAAATGGCTAAAATCGAGAAACATTGGCATTATATGTACTCTCGCCCAATTTACGCAAATGAAAATGAAGAAATGAAACCTAAAGCAAAGAGGAATTACACGAATTAGGATTATATACATCCAGATCTGAGATCATCGATCGTTGCTTCCAGTACAGACGAACTTCACTAGCGGAGCCGGATCGAAGCAAAACGGTGCGGCCGGATGTTTCCACTCCTTGACCGCCGTCGCCGTCGCCGTCGCCGAAGGCTTCTCCGCCTCTCTCTCCGCCTCCTTCTCCCGACTCGAATTCGAACACAATTCAACCGCTGCCGTCAAATCGCTCGAAACAGGCGATGTGATCAATGGCGATAGAAGCGGTATTGCCACATTCCAATCCGTGGCGCGGTTAATCTGGATCGACGCCGGAGCTTTCCTCTGCAACCGGCCGGGCTGTCGCCGCCGGTCATCCGGTGATTTTCTCGTATTCTCCGCCATCGTAAGGGTAATAGTAATATAGGATAGGAAAAACTTATTTCGATTTGGATGAGTAACGGAGATTAGGAGAAGACGTGCGGTTGAAGCGCGTATATATAGGGCCATGTGGTGTGCACGTTGGAAGTGGGGCTGAGAGTGGCAAGATGGGAAAAATCGCCACGAGATCCAGTCAATGGTCAAGGGAACTAACTTTTGTGGTGGAAATGTGGAATAATTGCTGTACTATTTTTATGGTGATTTATTTTTGTCACTTAGCGGATATCCCATTCTCCTTTGTAGGTGTGTGTAAAATTCTAATAAAAATCAGTATAAATAGGACTAAAACATAGAGAAAAGTATTAAAATAAACTTTGTTTTTTTTAAATAAGACTTTGCACTGTGATAATGTGGCACTATACATACACATTACTATTTTTTTGGTAATGTACATGACCATGTTTGGTAATGTTAGTCATATTTCGGGAATAAAAATATGAAAACTCTATTTTGATATATTTTCAATGTTTTAGTCATACTTTGGTCTTTCTTCCAAATTCTAAGTTTTTGGCCATGTATCCAAGTAGATATTATGTGAGTCAAGTTTTATTGGAATATTGCGGCTTGTATATGTTGAATGCACTATAATGTTAGAATATACGTAGTACACTTTTTCGAGTACCAACTACCAAATGGTCTTAGAGATTTGGTAACACTTGAAGTTCAGCAAGTGGTATTCGAATAAAGGTCACGAGTTCGATTTCCAACGAGTGCAATAGCGGAGGAAGAGACTGTTGGTCATGTATGTATCAATTGTCTTGTGGCGGAGACTATGAGCTATTGTGCATATTGAATGTGCTATAAAGCCTTTTGGATTTAGAAGAGTTGGTAAAACATAAAATCCTGCTTTTCATAATCGATTTTTGACCGGAGTAGTGTAAAATTTTTATCCAATATTCTCTCTATCCCAAACTAAAATTCTTTTTGAACGACATGCAAAATCTTATAATTTTTTAAATGATTTTATTCGAAAATAGTATAGAAAAAAAATAAAATTTATACAGTTCATATTTAAAAATTGCATCAAAAATTTTACAAAATCAATAGAGGAACCATTTACGAAAATTAATTTTATAATAATAATAATAGTAATAATAATAATAATTACTACATCCACTCTCATTTTGGCTAAATTCTCCTCATTTATGATAATTGAAAATTTAACTCTTAAAAATTGGTTTATATCTCAACTTCATGTTTTGCATTTTTAAACATAAAGTTGTCAATTTATCATAAATTGAGAGATTTTTGCCAACAAAGAAGTAGATTTAGTAGCACCCTAATAATAAATGAAATGAGTGTTTATTTCATTTCATGATTGTCTAAGTGTGTTTATTGTTGGTTCTTTGACCGTTATGTCATCGTTTGATTACATTTTCATTTAAATTCTTTGTTAAGCATCTTGAGAGCAGCGAGAATTGCATGTCTTAACATAATCCTAATTTTATTGTAAAAAAATAAAAGAAATGTAAGCCATGTCCAAAGAAATGTAAAATTTCCTAATTTAGATGATTATACAATATTATTTCAATTTTTCTTTTGCATACAAATACACCGATCTAGATTACTGAAGTCTATATTGTCATTCCAACTCCACCGAAATAGTTTCATGCTTAACTATGTGAAATTATGTTAGCTAACATGACATCTGAAATAATTAGTTGACAACACATCTAAATTAAAGAAATTAATTTGCACGCCATTTGAAGTTTTTTTTAATAATTTAATAAAGGAACCTTAAATTATTGAACGTGGTGAAAGAGTGGAGTATTTGAACCCTAATTTTTTGAACCCTTTAGTTCATTAGTTTGAATGTGTTGTGAATCATCATTTCATCAAATCTTATGTCAATCTAAACTAGGGATGGATTAGAAAAATCGAAAACCGCAAACCGAACCGATGCCGTTCGAGACGAGCTAGAAAAATAATCAACCTGAAAAAATTGAAATAAAATGTAAAAATACCAAACCTAACCGTTGTTGTTTGGTTTCCGTTTTGGTTTTCACTTCGGAAAACCGAATCGAAACGAATAAACTGAACTTTCTTAGTTCCCTTACTTTATTTACATGAGTATATGTGATATGAAAAAAAATCATAGAAATATAAATGCAAATACTAACTAGTCAAATAAGTTTTTTTAATATTAAATATATTAAACCATATTATAAAGTTTTTAAAAACTATGAATATAAACATCAATAATTAATCCTAATACGAAATTATATTAACATTAACAACTGGTACGAGTAATTTATATAGTTACATGAAAAAACTTTGATGTTATAATAGTAATGAAAGCATTATACCAAAAATGTAAATTCTCTGTAATGGATATTTACATACGAAAGCTTTTGGAGTACTTTGAAGCTCTAACGGCTTTGTTGGGACTCGACACACATTTTTTATGTAAAATTGAACTAAACCTAACTCTAACACTCCATTCAATTTTTTGTTTTGTGTAAAAATCAAACAAAAAATTGTAATCAACCCTACATATTGTTATTGTTTCATCGAGTTAATGTTTTTATAACTTTTAATGCTTATAAATTTTATTTTTAAAAACTGAAATAAAAACTGCATGAAAATAAACCGAATAACCAACAGTTTACATATTTTTATGCGAAACCGAACCGAGCCGCCAACTTACCTTCCTTTTTGTTTTTGGTTTTAAGTGAAAATCAAACTTCCAAAACCGAACTCACCCATAATCTAAAGAAATATTTGCACTAAATAACACTAAAACTTAAGTCATTTCTCTAAATAGCATTTAATAATGTCTATAATGTACAGTGATGACGAACATTTACTTGAATAACGACTAATGGATAATGACTAAAACTGCTACATTGGGAAAAACTAAGAACATGTTATCTTCAACTTATTTTTATTAGAATCAATTACATCAATCGAGATCTGAAATTATTTTAAATATAACTACATTCAAATTAGATTATATCAGAATTTATTTCAACAAGATCAGAATTATTAAGGAATAGAACAAGTGAGGGATTTAAGCTATTAATAACTTCCAGTTTTTTTCAGTTTCTTAAGGTTTTTTCCAGTTCCTTCGAGTTTCTTCCAGTTCTTCAAGTTCCTTCCAATTTCTTCCAACTATTCTCGTTTTCTTCAAATTCTTTCTACTTCCCAATGAAACCAATTATTCTAAAAACGATATACTTTTAATGTGATTATTATTTTTGTTATTATTATTATTATTAAAAGTGTTATGTTCATAACTATGGTTTATAAATTATTTTTTTCATCTTACTATTTTTACAATTCACTCATTATTTTTTCGTCAACTTTTTAATATAAGTAAGACATTTTTTGTGTATTAATCTACATGATAAAATAGAAAAAAATCAATATTTTAAACTATATTAAAAATTATGAATAAAATAGTTACATAGTACGAGTATGTTTTATTAAACTAACTTTATACATGACCCCCACTTTTCCTTTATTACTCAAATTTTTCTCATTTTTCTAATTTTAATAAAAAAATTGAAAGTCAAAATGGTTTAGAGAAAAATATTAAAATAGGAGTAAAACATAAAAAATGTGGAAAAAAGTGTTATGTCTTTATTACGAAAATAAGAGTTACAATGAAAACAAAATGTCAATCATGAAAGAAAAAATTTAAAACAATTACAAATATATTATGTGACCATTATGTGTCATGTCTAATATTTAAAAAAAATCTTGTAATATATAAAGTACAATTACAAATATATTATTTATAATAAATATTGCATAATTAAATTTAAGTGCAACGTAACCATAATAAATTTTTAAAATTTAACATTTTGATATTGATGCTAACTTTATATTATAATTATTTATTTTCCAAAAGTAATTTTTTTGTGTATAGAAAATAAAAATATTTTTTTAAAAGACATTTATTAAGATAACGTGATGATGATGGTAATAATAATAATAATAATAATTTATAACAACAAAAATTAGAATAAGAATAATATAAAAATATACTAAATAATTTTTTAATTTTTTTTTAGATTTTTCAATTTTTTCAATTTTTTCAATTTCTTTCGCGTTCTTTTCAGTTTATTCCTGTTCTTCTATTTTTTTTCATTTCCATCTAATTTATTTTTGTTCCTCCAATTTCTTCCCTTATCCCGCTTTGTAGGTGGGATAGAAAGGGTGGGCAAATTCATGAGCATCAATGGTCAATCAGCTCTAAACATCCATCCAGAGAAAGAAGAAAGGGAAACCTGAATTCCTATCATCGCCCACGCACTATTCACAAACCAGGTTCAAAGGGCTAACTGCGAACCATATCCCAGGTAGCGATTCTCTGCGTTTATTTGTTTTTCATTGAGTTCAGCATAGCAGCGAGTGTTATGGTTGATTATTTCCACTTATTGAGTACGAACGCCTTCAGTTTGATTGTAATTGTGGCAGTAATCGTTGTGTAGAGCTGCAGATTGATCTTCAGGTTCAGCGCAATCACACTATCATCTTTCTTCTTAATTTCTGAATTCCGATCTAGGTCAATGTGTAATTTTCTAGGTCATATTGTGCTGCATTCAGATCTGTGGAGTTCAATTTCAGTGGGAGGAAGATGAGCCATCCTAGCCTGGGTCAGCAACAGCCCGAAGGAAGACATGAGGATGATACTGCCATTGCTGAATTCCTCGCATCGTTGATGGATTATACTCCTACTGTGAGATTTGAATTTATTTTAGGCAATAAATCTTCACATTTAGAATTTGGCAGTGCTTTTGCTGCTGGGACAGTTGTTTTATTCGTATTAAGTGCTTAATGTGGTTTATTCAAATGCCTAACAAGTGATATTTGATATATCCTAAAATCAAATGATTGCCATTATAGTAATAATTAATAAAAAAGAGCCTATATTCTAGCAGTTTAGCATTGCCCGGTTGGCCAGTTATTTGGTACTGATCTTTGTATAGTAAAAATACCAAATATGGTGTACCTATATAAATAAAAGAGGTTACAATTTGGTGCTCATTTTTTGATAGAATTACAGGATATCAACTCGGGCCGGCCTTAATCGATTATTATTTGTTTTAAAACCCTTGACCAGATCCCTGATGAACTAGTGGAGCATTACCTGGCTAGATGTGGATTTCAATGTCCTGATGTGCGGGTGTCGGTATTCTCTGCTAATGTTTAGTCATCTTGTTCTTGATATTGCACATTTGATTTGCATTTTTTGTACACATATTGCATCTGCTATTTTTTCAGTTCATCATGCATTTGTACATAATCTGGTGTAATATGGATTTCAGATGATTCTATATTTTGCTATTGGATTTATCTGTTGTTCAAACATCTCATTTATATACCGGCTGTTTTTTTTTCTATTTTGTTGAAAACCTTTCCTTTTAAATTTCAATACCTGTCATTAAATTTAATAATACTTGCTTGTTGCTTACTAGAGACACCCACATCACTGATTTAAAGGATAACACCCACATCACTTATTTAAAGGATACTCTGTATGGAATAAATAAAAAGCACTCCCTCTTCTCATCAATGACTCAATGCTAGTGTTTCCTGTATCTATTTCCATAGCATTGATTTTCAGAAATCTTCAAGTTCAGCATAAGTTGTGTAGACTTCAGATTCACTTTTGGCAGTCATTGTTTCTGATAGAACTCGGGATTTGGGGGGAAATAAATGAAGGAAAGTTCTGATTAAATTATGAAATCGGCATCTAACTTCATAAACTAATAAAAGAAAATCTTTATCAAAATATGAGCAATAATCTTAAACTCATACAAGTAATAAAGCCAAGAAGAATCTCCAATAATAAATATTGAATTACTTTCTAGATAACTTTTACAAATAATGAGCGTGTATATTTATAAAAGCCAAATAACTACCAATTCCTATAATTTAGGCCCACTACGGCACTACCACATTAGCTAGTAACTATTCCTAGACTTTAGGCTCACTACCACATTACTTAGCAACTACTAGAATTTATTTACAACTCAGTAACTAACATGTATAAAATAATATTTTTTGACCCGTTAAACAAATGACCCTAACTGACTCTATTATAAATATTACTATCATCAAATAATTGCATATGTGGCACTCTGTCAGTTCTTTGTTCCTATTTCTTAACTCCATAAATAGCAATCTTCTGCAACTAAATGGTCTTTCATTGTGAAATGTGAGATGCAGGATTAGGTTGGTTGCTGTTGCTACACAGAAGTTTATTGCAGATGTTGCCACTGATGCACTTCAGTATGTTGGCTAATTTTTTCTTCATACAGTAAAGCTTCTACATAATAATATCCTTGGAACAAAGCTAATCATATTCTATTCTCTTTGTCTCATAAACTTCTGTATAGGAATATGTTTCCCAACATAATTTTGTAACCCAAATATAGTCCAATTTTATCAAAAGATGTAGTTTCTCATTATATCTAACATGTTCCAAAAAATGCAAAACAAGTTAGATATGTTTAAATTGAGTTAAACATACAAATAAATTCAAAACTATACTCCATAGTTTATATCTAATGATTTCCACATTCCACTAGTTGTTCCTTGCTAAAATTAAGCTACATTTAAGAAACACGGAGTATGATTCCTTTAATGGGATATAGGGAGTAATTCAGGGTTGAAACTTACTACAAATACATACGTAATATATAATAAACAGAATTTAAGTTGGGACCAAAATGTTTTGTAATAGAGTCCCTTCGGTACTTGCTTTAGCATTTACCAATAGCAGTTTAGAAAAGCTATCCAATGGCAGTATTTAGCTTAAGCGTATTTAAACTTAATATGCACCATTAAAAATATCCAAAACTCCAAAGTTAATCGCAAAATTCCTGTTGAGGTTTTACTGTGTTAATGATTCCCACTTGCCATGTTCCTTTGTAATTTGATACAATACATTCCATCAGCAAGCCCCCCTATCCCCAATTATTTTTTCTAGTTTTTGTTGAGAACCACTGTCAGATTGCATGGCACCCTTACCGCATTCACACCCAAAGTGTGATGCGTACACTGTACAGTTTACCACTCCAACTTACAGCATGCACCCCCAAAGTGTGTGCACTACTGCACTGTACAATTAATTACTCCGTACAAGATGGGCTTCAAAAAAAGTTGCATGCCTCGTTGCCTACTGTGCAGTCAACAACAACATTACCCCAGTGCCTCAAAGGCTCCTGTCCAATGCGGGGTGTTTGTGGGGGAGTGGGGAGGGGTAGGATGGATGCAGCCTGACCTCTATTTTTAAAACCTAGATCAACTGTTTCCGATGGTGTGCTGTCATGGTCCGTGAATGTTTTAAAATTAGTTAAAGTGCTGCTCTCTCCATTCAAAGGGACATTATTGTCGATATTAATCAAGTGGAAAAGAAAACTTTTGTTTATTTTCAAATTTTGACAATTTTGTTAATGGAACTTGGTTCCCCTTTTCTTGAGAAAGTAAACATGTAAAGCTTCCCAATAAGACAAAGTGCAAATCTACTGAAGTCAATTTGTATGCATTAAATTCCTTTTTTGTTCCAAGGTCTGTTCTTGTAACTGCATTGCATAATCTTGAAAAAACTGATATGTTTAGTTCATATGGAGTTTCACACTGGAGAAGGGACTACACATTTTAATATAGTGAGAGTTGATTGCAGAATCTTGCCAAGGAGCTATTATTATTTGGCAATTGTTTATTTTCTTTATTTAATGCGATAAAGTGATTGAGCGTTTGGTCCTTGTTGCCATTTGTGGGAGTGCTAACATTTTTCTACTGTTTTAAATTGCTGTTGTTAGGCAATGCAAAGCAAGAACAGCTGGAACTGTAAAAGATAAGCGAGATAAACAGCAGAAGGTGTCCCTCTTACCTCTGCTTTTCTTTCTCACCTTTTCTGTCGATAGTAGTTCTAATTGTGCTTGTTACAGGATAAACGACTAATACTGACAATGGAAGATTTATCAAAAGCTCTACGTGAGGTAAGCTAAAATGGCTTTACTCCTTTATTGATTGCATAATAAATCCTTAACGTGACCTAAGTTTGGCATTTTTGGGATTATCCTTAACTACACATTCTCTTTGGTTATAATGTTCCAATTGAAAGCACGACAAAGCATCAATTAATTTATAATTTATATACTGGAAATTCTGTTTTATGAAGAGTGGCTATTCAGTTAACATTTTTACAATTCTTTTTAATTTAGAACAAATGCTTTCTAGGAGCTTATTTGATTGGTTTGTTATCCATCTATGGTTAAGAATTAAAAGGTGGTATTCAGTATGCAAATTTTGATGGTTATAAAATATAAAGTCAAATACGTCTAGAAGGGAATGGCACGGATAGTAGGATAGGGAAATACGCTAGTCACACTTTATGTTACCAAAAAGAGTCGTGTTTCAAACACAATTTGTCCCAAAACGGGAGTCCATGAGGTCAAACGAAGCTAATTTTTGATGTCATTTACTCAAAAAAAAGTTATGATACATCGTTCTTGACACTCATCCCATATCAAACTTTAAAAGCTGTACACTGCTCAAGCATAAACTTTTTTTCCAGGACAGAGGTAGTACTTCACATACTGCATATAAAAAACTGCATTTCTAATTTTATATTTTTTGGGGTTAATGTCCCAATTGGTTGGTGGGGTCGAGCCCCTCGTGGCTTGGAATCTACACCATCATTTTAATCTTGTTGCGCTTGTCATTGATGAGATTTTATTTCTTTTTGTTGCTGTTTTTATTTTTAAAAAATGACATCATCTCACATTGGCTTTCTATCATGTTAGTACGGTGTAAATGTCAAGCATCAAGATTACTTTGCGGATAGCCCATCTGCTGGGTTAGATCCTATGTCACAAGAAGAATGATTGAATGCGTCCGAGAGGGGGAAAGCTCTTCAGATGGCCATAAAGGGTCGATCTCGCCTCAAATCTCGTACTTCAGTTTTTCTATCCGTTAACATATGACTGACATTTTATTCTTTGTACAATTGCCTTGTATTTTCACTTGTGGTGATATTGCAGTTTAATATTTATGGACAATTTTTTATTTGTGTAAATCACTCTTTGTTCAATGGTATTTTAATGTGAGGATAATCAGAAGTTTTTCTATCTTATTTTTGGTCTCTTTGCTCTTTCATATTTTGTGGGATTTATAGCTTCGTTTGGCTAGACCATCTCCAATATAGAGTTCTAAAATCACCTTTTTGGGTCATTAGTTGTGTCATGTAAGGTAGGATAAGAGCTTTTTTCAATTTCGTTGTTATCTCAATGATATAACTAGACTAGCAAAAAATAATTTGACTTGTTCTTGACATGGTCGTCTCGAAATACGAGGCCTTGATAAAGGATTTAGTGACATAAACTTGAAAATGACCAACCCAAAATGACTTGCTACAATGAGTCAAAACCGACGAACTTGAACTCGACTTGATTGACAGGCCGAGATGAGATTTTACCAAACTATGCACTCCATACCTTATAAAGAATGTCATCTCAGAAAAAGGTGAAAGTGTAATCGATGTTGGTGAGCAAAAATTTAGAAATTCTCTCGATCTTGAGTATTTTTTTTATTCTTTGATCTTGAGTATTATTCCAAGAGAAAAATACAATCTTGGAGTCATTGAGAGGTAGATTTTCACTATAGACCTTGAAATCGCCTATGTTGACTAAATCTTTCCATCCCTCTCTATCTTTAAAAAAGGATGAACTCCATCATATCCCGTTCAAAAAGTTAGTAAATGAAACTCTAATTTCAAGTGGACAATTGGAAATAAATTTTGCCTTTAGTCCCACCTTTATGCAAGACAAAACATCCAACATTACCTTTGCTGGGAGTTGAATCCGGCCACAATGTTTTTTACACCCATATTGACCACTTGAACTACGTCCCGAACAATCCCTCCCTATCTTCAAACACACAAATCAAAGCATTCTCAAAACCCGAATCCAAAACTCTGTCTCCAATCTTTTCAACAAATGACCATCCTACCATGATCATCATCGGCCAACATTCCGAGAAACACATACAAATCATGTGTTAAAATGATAGGATCTTCCTCTACCAAATAATCCCAATTTATTAAGGAAAAAAAATAAACACAACCATAAATTACCTTCACTCAAACCCTAGATCTACTCTACCACATCGAGTCTTTATGTAGCCAACGAGTTTAATTACCATACAGTTGTTCATTAACATTTAACAATTGTAAATCTTTGGGTGTCAATTGAAGGTGCATTGTTTTCCCACACCGGAAGTGTGAGATGAAGAAGGGCGAGGATTGGTATTCAAATACAGGGGGCCTGTGTCCATTGGGAATTAAAAAGGGTCGGTTGGCTAAATATGCCACGTTCATCCGATGGGTGAGTGCTGTATGGAAATCAAGACATATGGCCGACATAATTTGTGGACTTTTATAGGGTTGGCTCTCCTTGGTCGACCCTCCCAAATAATCAACAAATTGTCTCTGTCTCACCTTGTTTCAAACACTTTGGTTACATGCGTCTTTTGGTTTTACACCCGGTCAGATTGTGCTAATTTTTTTTAGGGATAGAGGAATTATTTTGTTTCTAGATTTTTGTGATAGTTATTTGTCCTGTTGTATTAAAAAAAAATATAAAATTTCAAGTACCCATAATGTCTTTAAAATCGGTGGACCAGATCGAAATCTATTAAATTTTCAAAAAGTATTTGAAATTTTAATACATTGAGTGTTTGCTGGCACAACCTCCATCTTCAAAATCGGTTGACCCGATCGAAATTAATTAAATCAAAAGTTATTATTATTGTTGTTATTGTTATTATTATTATTATTATTATTTAATGGGCTTAATTATAACCTAAAACTGCTAATGTTTTTTAAACTTTTCATGCGCGGTAGTAGTGTGGGATGGTGTGGGAGTAGGGAACCTATGTCATTTTGGAGTAATTGAATACTCATTTCCGATTAATTAAAAATTCATTTTTGAGCATAGCTGAATTTTAGAGAAACGGATATTTAATTACTCGAGAATGAGTATTTACTTACTCAAAAATGAACATTCAATTATTCGTAAATGAACATTCGTCGTGAATATATAGGAAACACTCCACAAGCATGAGAAGCAATGATGCCAAATTTGTTTGGTTTGATTCTTTATTCAAAAGAAAACAGATAATAAATAGTTATGAATTAGGAAAGGTAAAAATTGTGTTCGAGATATTTTCCTCAATCACACTTTCCTTTGCTCTCTCCTAATAAACCAAGCATGGGGTTACCTCTTTTCACCACAATTTTAACTGGAATCTAAAATCTAAAACTTGGGTAACATGAGTCCAAAGGCAGTGATAAATTTAATCCAGAGAGTGAAATATAGTAACTAAAATTGAAACTACTGGAACATAAAGTTGAAAAGAAGAGGTCCACAATACACAGCAAACAGTAGTCATGAAGGTAAGTTTTGATACTCTAAATAACACCATTAACCCACAATTCCACACCCATACATTCATTAAGTTGTGCAGAAAATGCAGAAACAGAGAACATAGAAAAGGGACATAGTATGAATATTGCTACAAAAAAATGATTCTGTGTAAACAGTAAACAATGGTACAACACGCGCACGCTCGGACACGTCTAAGCTGCCTTTGGCTTTGTCGTCTTTTTCTTGAGCTGCCTCCTAGAAATGGAGTTCTTCATTCCAAGGAAATAGAGCAATGCGCCGAAAAGTGCCACATTCTGCTAGACAAATGAATGCTAACTAATCAATTGGAAAGACTAAGACAGATGGGAGCTGGTTTGATTCCAACCCACTTCAAAAGCACTATTTACGCAGTACTAAAAATCATGGTTTAAAAAGGAAGCAAAATCTATATCCAAACCACGCCCTAATGACAGACCTGCAGGAAGTCATGGAGAAGAGGGAAAAAATGTAACTCTCCCAATTTGTAGTTATAGAAGTCGTAAAGAAATGGAGTGATATAGATCAAGTAACACATCTGCAAAATTTTAAGAAAAATTAACGCCAAAATAATCATTCATCTCATTGAGAGACAACTCTGATAGGGTAGTTTGGAAAATGCTTCAGAGAGAACAAACTTCACCAGCAGATAAGCACCAAGTGGGCTGCCAAATACAAACACAAGGCCTCCCACTCCTTTCAGCACCAGAGAGGCTGCAACAATATGCTTAGCCTAAAATAGAAGAAGCAAATATTACAATACATTAAAAATTGTTGGAAGATTCGCGGCATAAAATTAGAGATGGAAATGAGGGTACTCATACATCGATGTTTGGCGATACCCCAAACTTGGAAGTAAGAAATCTCTTAGCAACAGCCAGCCTGGGAGCCAGTTCCTTTGCAGCAGGCCCGCCGTCCTCCCCAAAGTCATTATACCTACAGTAATATGTTAGGAGTTGATGGGGGCATATTACTGATAGGATCAAGAACACCAATAAGGAATTCACATGACTGCATGACATTAACCATAATTTAAAGCTACAAAAGTCTTAAAATAAATCATGGTAAAACAATGTTATAATCAACTAAGAGTTACTGCATTAGACGCCTGCAAGGTAGTAGATTGGTTCTAGGACATAGTCAAGGATTAATTGGATTAGACAAGATCCCATTGGAGCAGAATAAACCTTGGCACCAAGTAGTAGAAGCTAGAACTGGGCTCTAAAAATGGGCTCTTTAAGAAGCAAAACTATTACCAGTTGGTTATTGGTATCAAGTCTAAAGTGCTGTCATGTCATGACATTTCTCTATTACCTTTACCTATTACCTTCACGCCTGTTCTTTCTTCTTTTTCTTCTTCTATGATGTTACTCACTTACTCATATAGGAAAAAAAACATGTAAGGCTACCAAGAACATACCAAATAAGGCAAATAAAGAAATCTTTTCATAAACATAATTAAAGTTCACTCCTTTTCCCATGGCAAGATCCACAAAGTCTAAGTTCCAAGAGATTAAAAAGAAAATAATAATAATAATAATAATAATAATAATAATAATAATAATAATAATAATAATCCCTCAACAGAAGAATTCACTAGGCGATTATACATATACCTAGTTCATGTAAGAGTAAATTCTCAAAATGATACTCAATAACTATGCGATTTCCCAAATTAGTCCCTAAGATGAACTAATTGCCGCGGTGGTACTCGTTAATTGAAAATAATGCCCAATTTAGTTCCCCGACTAACCGCCATCAAAATGGCGTCAAAACGACAATAAAACTTATACTTATTTTCCAAAGTGATCATTTCTAATCGAATGTTTTTCAAAATCAGTCAATTTTCCAAATAAAAACTCATAAAAAATGGTCTCCCGCCTTCGGTCAAACACTGTAAATCAATTTGGAAAATTAGTAAATTGATCAATTGAAAAAATGATCAATTTGGAAAACTAGTACAAGTTTTGATTCCATTTTGACACTGTTTTGACGACCGTTAGTCGGGAGACTAAACTGAGTATTATTTTCAATTCGGGAGTACCATCTCGGTAATTAGTTCTATCTTTGGTCTAATTTGGAAAAACAATGAGTACCATTTTGAGAATTCACTACACATATAACAACAAATTAGCACGGAAATGAAAGAAAGAGGCGGATCTGAGAACCAACCACTTCCCATACGGAATGAACAATGCGAAACAACAAATTGACACCAAAAACGCGGCGGAAAACGAGGACAGAGACTAGATCTGAAGAAGAGAACAGAGATGGGGAAAGAGAGGCAGCGTACATTTGCCAGGCGGAGAGGATGAAGATGGAGGCGAAGAGTACTCTTCCCAGGAACGAAAAGAACCCCATTTTCTACCTTATTCACTGCCGGCGGATCTCCGTTGGGCTTCGCAGCTCGAAGGAGAATGCTTAGCTACTTTTCTTCGTCGTCTTCTTCTTGCTCCGGGAGCTATGGAGAGAGGGAATATAGAATTGGGAATTGGGGTTTGAAGTTTGAGGTTCCGTATTGGTGGTTGTTTTTATTGAGATCCGGCGGCTCTGTTTGGTAAGAAGGGGACGGATGATTGGAGTTAATTACTTCCTTTCCTTATCTCGCTTTATTAATTTTTAAAAAAGATTTTTTTCTTTAAAAAAATACTTCTCACTTCTTAAAACAAAAGTGAAATTATTTTTGATACTCAATCCTACCGTAAAAAAGATTCCAGTTTCGATTTGGTTCGAAGATTAAGAAAAATAAAATTGATAATATTTTTAATTTAATATTCACTCTGTCGTAAAAAGATTTCCTTTTTAATTTAGCAAGAAAATTAAGAAAAATAAAAAATGCATAATCAAATGTGGCAAAGAAGAGAGGAGTTATATGGGAAAAATACAAAAGATAGGAATAAAATTTAAAAAAATTACCAAAATAAGAATTTTATATTTTTATTCCCAAAATAAGAGTTATTAATGTCAATATATAATACCAAAAGTTATTGTGAAATAATAATATGCACTGCCACAATGTCATAATGCAAACTTCTATATTTAAGATGAAAACATGAAATTCTTATTTTTAACGATAAGATTTATGTTTTACTTTTATTTGAGAATTGAGATGATTTTAAAGTTATATAGACCAGAAAAACTTTTTCAAAAGTGAAATGAATACTTGTTTGGTACAAATATAAAATAAAATATAGAACATTTTTATGAGATGTTGGAATATACGTAGTACATAAAAGTTAGAGTTGTGTTTCCATAATTTTAAAGTACACATGTGAAATGTAAATCTTCTTACACTTTAATGAGAATCTTTATTTTTTTCAAGAACTCAATTCATCTATGATATTTAAATAATAATTTTTATAAAATAATAAATGTAAACTTTAGGATCACATAAGAATTTGTGTTCTTTCATCTTTCATGATAGACTTACCAGTTTGATCTCAAGGTAAAGTTGCCGATTTTTTTGTTCTAACTTCTAAGCATATCTAAACAAAATATAAATCTTCTTTTATTATTGCAGGTCAAATTATATTTCACTCTTTTCACATTTTTATTTGATTAAAAAAATTAAAAAAATAGTTAAGTCACCGCTTATTTTATATTCTTGCCCCTGAAAATATATCTTGTTTTCCTCACTTAGATGTTTCAAAATGAATGTCTGGTTCCATTTAAAGAAAGAAACAGGCGATTCACATTATTCATCTCTTCCGCATAAATTTGGGCTATATAATTTTACTTTTCCTTAAACTTCGTGAAAACCACCTCCAGACATTCGATGCACTTTGTAATTATATACTCAAAAATTTGTATTCTTAATTTATGTAATCAAAATTTTTAAACAAATTATTTTGCAATCCTTAAGTTCATGATTATTTTATGAACCATGATACATAAAATGACATTATGACAATATGTAGTGTGCCTTGTTAGAAAAGAGATTCAATTATGAGTCCATAGAAGATATGTGAGACAGTCTACATTTCACATGTAAATTTTAGAACTGTTATATTTTAAAGAATATATAATTCCCTAAAAACATAGGATGTAATTCTCCCATTGACAACCTAATTCATTATACACTTAAAAAGTGTAAAACTTTATGACATTATAAAGTGAGTTTTTTTTTTGGGTACCCTTAATTTTGTCTTCAATGTCTTTAGAAATATCACAGACAAAGAATAATGGTTCGTGTCTCCAATGTCTGTGTAAAGATATTAACATTAAACTTCAAGTACGCCAAATTTGATTTTAATACAGTGCTTTTATGGGAGGATTAAAGGTGAACTTACATGCATTGCCACCAACTCGGCACGTCATGCACGCACACAATCACGAGCCTCGAGGATGGGACTCGAAAACTATATGATTTCAAGAAATTCTTCCTGGGGAGGAAATTATCACTAATTTGAATCTAACGGATCTTGTGTTTCAAGCCCTCTAAGATGAAAAAAGATACAAAAGTTTGCCTTTCTTTTAATTGGCCGCCACTTGCGCATTTGAGAAACAATGTTATCATACGAACACCTGCAATAATCATGCTCTCTGAGCTTTGGCTTTGAGTAAATAAGAATCGACATGAACGTTAATCGTTACTCCGTATTATAAAAGAATATAATCACGTGAAGATAATCACTTGAGAAATCATGCTCTCATCACGTGATTATAATGATTATAATCAATTGCGATTCATCGTACTTATTTACTCTTCAAACGTTTTTTAGATCCTATTTGGTGCTCTGGTTGAATTGGCATGAAAGTTAATCGTAATTGTAATCTAAGGAAACGGAATTAAACTTATCTGGACTGAAGTGATTTTGGCTGAACCAATATTTAAGTGAAACAAGCTCATTCAGAAGCCCAAAGTTCCTCCCAAGGAGCTATTATTATTAATAATGAAGAAGAAATGAGCAAAGAGAATCAAAGGACTCTTGCTTCATTCTTCAGCTTGTCAACGAGCTCATCCACAGATGAGAGTATAACGCCGGCTTTTCTCTTGGGAGGCTCAGTCACTTGCACAATCTCCATGTCGCATTCAATCTCAACGTTCAGTTCCTGAGGAGTGATCTTCTTTATTGGCTTCGACTTCGCTTTCATGATGTTCGGGAGCGTTGCGTACCTCGGTTGGTTCAGTCTCAGGTCCGTGCTGCAAATTAAAAGAATCTCATAATCACACTTTAGAATTGTATCTTCAAAACATAAAGAATGTACCAAAATATGAGCTCTATGTTTTTATCTCCAAAATAGAAGTTTGCATTCTGGTAATGTGGCACTATGCACATTTCACAATACTTTTTGGTAATATATATGGTCATGATTGACTTTGTATATGCATTTTAATTCTATTTTGGGAATAAAAACATAGAACTTGTATTTTGGTATATTTTTCTATATTTTACTCCTAATTTAATCTTTTTCACTATGTTCAATTCAGATAACAACTTCAGTGTTTAGCTTTAGCATTTTGAAAAAAAGGCTATGTAATGGCATCGTTTAGCACTTTAGCTTTAAAGAAATTATAGAAGTAAAATATAGAGAAAGTACCAAAATAAGAGTTACATTGTATATGCATTTTAACTCCTATTTTAGGAATAAAAATATTAAACTCACATTTTGGTGTATATTTTATGTTTTACTTTTACTTTAGTCTTTTTTTCCTTAGCTTTAACGTTTTCAAGCTTAATCTACAACGTTGAAATGCACCATTAAAATCCCCAAACAAGGGCCCTAAACCACTACAATTGAATGCTTTAGAAGGGCCTACATATATATATGTTGAAGGCGTCTTACGTGATGACTGCGGGTAGGTCCAAAGACAGCGTTTCAATCCCGCCATCGACCTCTCTATCAACAGTAACCACCTGCTTTTCTTGGTCCAGAATGACCTATTGGGCAAAATATAACCAAATATATACCGTAAAAGCTTGGGATAACAGTATTGACCATAGAGCAAGAAGTTGCTGACCTTTGAAGCAAATGTCCCTTGCGGCCATTGAAGAAGCCCTGCAACCATTTGACCAGTCTGGTTGCAATCATCATCAATTGCCTACACGGAGGAAAACCATGGAGTGATTTATAGGTGAATGCCGAAGGACAAACACGAAAAAATGGGATGCATTTTTATGCACTCTCAAAGGACAACACTAAAATCAAGATTCAAGACTAATGTATCCATCTCAAAATAAGGTCAACCCAGTTGAGGCTCGCTAGAACTAACAGTGGGTTTTGCTACCACATTACATCCTAAAAGGTCTAACCTAATTAACATGAATTACTGAAGTGACTTAAGAAGTCCACAAAAGATAGTTGCTCATTGGAGCAGGACCTGCCCTGAATATTGATAGTACTTGGTTCAAATATTAACATTTGGCCTCTAAAGTGTATGGAACACAAGTTATTTACCTCTAAGTTTTCAGCTTGATCTTTTAGCACACTTGCATTAGTTGGATATGATGCCTCTGTTACATCACTGTATAATACTTCAAGTACTTGGAATTAAGATACTAATTTATAGAACAAAAATATATTTTAACACTTGAATGCCATCCTAGAAGGCCATTATTCTAAGAGACTAGACAATAGATGTGTTGGGATTATGTAACTTAGCACATGGTCCATTGTACATTGCAAAAAGAAATATTGTCCCTTCGTCCAAAAATTATCGTCTTGTTCCCTATTCATAGAATCAAACATATTTTCGTTGCACATTTGATAAAATAATATAGTCATTTCACCACTAGTTTTATAAATATGTACTCGTAAGTTTAATTTCACAAAATTTTTCACATGCGAAGAAGAGAGAAAAAACCTGTTTCCCAAGGAGAAGAAGCCCGGGCTTCTCAATTTCAACAAGAGCTCTCAGAATCTTTGCAACGGAAAGCGGGTACAGAGGCGCAGCCGCCGGGGCTTCCACGTGAATCGCCCGGTCCGCGCCCATGGCCAACCCGGTCCGCAGAGTATCCACGGATTGAGCCGGGCCGATACTCACCGCCACAACCTCCGCGGCCCGACCCGAATCTTTGATCCGGATCGCTTCTTCCAGAGCGATTTCGCAAAACGGGTTCATCGACATCTTCACATTGCTGGTCTCTACGCCACTCTTGCGAGAACGAATGAAGGAAAATCAGTTTGGAATCGGATTTTGGGGCGACTCGGAATCAGATTTATAGTTAACTGAGAGGAGTTGCGATTACCTTGTCGGTTTTGACCCGGATTTTGACGGCATAGTCAATGACCCGTTTGATGGCTACCATGATCTTCATGATTTGTTAGAGAAAGGAGAAAGAAAGACTGTAGCACCTCGGAACTTGATTTTGCTCTCCCAGGAAGAGTTGCAAGTGAAAATGCTGGTTCAATTTCTAATCAAGGATGCTACACTCATACCAAAAATTGTACCTCATTTATACACCGCAGTTATACACAAACATTTTAATATTTTACATCAACACAAGTGTTGATGCGTTAACAAAAATTTACACGAATACAAAGTGTTGGTGCATTAACAAAAATTAGTTTTACACTAACACAAAGTATTTGTGCAAACTTGCGGGGTACAAAAATTTGGGGCACAAATAACTTAGATTATGCGAGTGTTTCACAATGTTAGTACTTGCTAACTTATTGCTTATAAGTAGTTTTCAAATTATAAGTTGCTTGTGAAATGAAAATTCTTACATGTAGAAAAAAATAACTTTAATGATTTACGTATAAGTTGTTTCATAATATTCATAATAGGTGAGAGATAATTTTGTTAGTAATCTAGTCAAAATTGATAAATGAAAAAACTAATTTAAAAATAAGTAGGTAAGACCTACTTATTTATTCTGATTTATAATCAACTTATAAGAACCCATTTTGGATTATCGTTAGAGATTAGCGTAAGTGTTTTGGATAGAATTTTAATACTGCAGACTAGTTTGAAAACGCTAACGCTGCCCGTAGATAACATTTTCAAAACGGTAACGATAATCGCTAACGTTATTCCCAAACATGCCCTAAGTTAGCTTATAAGCACAGAAAAATACATTAAATGTTGCCTTATAAGTTAAAAACAATTTATAAGCATTTTTACCATCTTATAAATACAGAAAAGCACACACTATGTTCGTCTCATTTCTAATAATATACTTTGATATGTTGGGAAAAATTATAAAACAGGAAAAAATATAAGAAATTAGAAATAAGAAAGAGTTTGGAAAACTTGAAAGAATTAGAAGGGAATTGGAAAAAATAGAAAGGAATTGGAAGAAAATGGAAAAATTTAGAAAAACTTGAAAAAAATAAATAGTTTTAGAATATTTATTTTATTTTATACATTTCATATTTTTAGAAAAAATACTCTACTTTTTCAATTTTTTATGTCTATTTATTTTCTTCAATGCCATTATATTCAATCCCAACTCGTATTCATAATTTTTGTGTGACTCACACTCTTTCTTTATATTTCTTAAATCAATATTAATCATATAATTTTTTTATTTTTAATTGTATGTTACTAATTCATATATTTAAAATAAAAGGATAAATGAAGTAATAATTTTATTAATCTTAATTGAAACATAAATGAACCAGCTCATTCATACAAAAACTTTTGTATTCATAAAAAAATATTTAAACAATTATTTTATTTTACTTTTTAAACTATTTTATTTTTTTTCACAAAAAAAACTATTTTATTTTATAATAGTGAAATGAAATTTTTTTATGCAAAAGAAGTAGTATTCAATATTTACTTATACCTAATATACATCTGACATCTAATATATGCACATTCAAAAATGAAATAATATTAATCTTACACAATTATTTCATCACATATTATACTGATGTGTGGACATCTTTTTTTGTATATGCTTAAAGAATGCACATTATAAAAAATAGTGCATCCAAATTTTACTATTCACAGAATCAAACTTTAATCACATATTTTACTAACTTTATTATTTATTTGATAAAATAATATAATCTTGTCAATCTTATTTTGTAAATATTTTAATGTAATGTTTAAATATATAAATTTTATTTTTTAGTTCTATTTTTGTTTTCAAATAAATTAAATAAAAATTATCACAGCCAAATCTTATGAACAACATGTAATTTAAATTGAAAAATAAAGAGTAGCGAGTACATTAAAATATTGTTCTCAAAAAGTGGACAGAAAAATAAAATTAGAGCTAAAATAGATTCAAATCAAGTCACATTATCGTAAAATAAGTTATAACAATTGTAGAAAAAAAATTTAAAAAATACTCCGTCCGTTTCTAAATTGATTACAATTTTTTTTTCTCTCCTCTCGATAACTTTTGTTTGTTTACGCGATTTTATTAAGTATTTGATAAAATAAAATATTTTTGTCACCACTTGTTTTGTAGAACTTTTGACGTAGTTTTTTAATATGTAATTTTTATATCTTATTGATATACCAATTTGTAAATAAAATTATTTCAAAAAGTAAAATTTTTACTCTGTAACCCATAATTTGTAATCAAATTGGGGGCTGAGAGGGTAAAAAATAAAATAATAGATCCTGGATTTTCGGGTCTAAACCAGGTCAGATCCTGATTCGAGTCTAATGGATTTAGGGTCTTTTCCTATTTAAGATAGGGTTCCCCTCCCTCCCGGCTTCCATTCCCCCAATTCCTCGCCGCGCCCAACCCGCTCGTCAGCCGCCGACGAAAAGTCAGTTTCCATCTCTCTCTCTCTCTCGCCTTCCTTCCTCCCTGCCCGTCACTGTAGCCTTCTGTTTTTGAATTTTCGTTGCTAATATGTATCTCAGTATGAAAGATTGGCTAACCAGATCTTGTTATTGAATCCGATGGTTTCAGCTTTCCCTCCTCGGCCTCCTCCCGTCAGCCTTGGTTCCTTCGCCGCCGATGAGCAAAACCCTAGTAATTGGCGTAGTTAGAGTAATTGGCATTTGGCTTCCTCTCCAGTCAGACTTCCGAACACTGGCGTAATTGGCAAAGTCAATGTCACGAAGAGAAACCTCAGCAATGGGCAAATCCCTAACCTTGTCCTACTTTTCATTCACATTCAACTTCCTCTTCTTCACATTCCCGTTTCCATGGCGAGAGGGTGACAGAAGATCAATTCTAAGGTTAGAATTCAAACTCTTTCTTCATTTCATTTTTTTTTATCATCATACCTTTTCTCTCTCTTTTTAGTGTCTAAATTATTACACTTATTAACTGTTGTATAGAAGATTTTTGTGTGTGGTGTGATGATATTGAGTATATTTTGCAAGGGATTGGATCAATTTTAGGGTTTGCATCATTTGTTTTGAGAAGCGGGTAATTTCTTCCTTTTTTTGTTGTTTTATTACTTGCAAGTGCCAATCAGCTGCATTCTTTTTTTACTTCAATCATAATTTGATTTTCCAATAAATATGTATAAAAATTTGATTTTGATGGAGGCTAATGGAGGGTTGAGAATTGTTGTTTAATCCCTTATGGATGTTTAACAATGACGTTTGGTCTTAAAAAGTGATTACTCAATGCTCACGTGCTGTTCAATTACATCTATTTTCATCTATATCTGCTGTGGATTTTACTTTTTTTATTTGTACTACCATGGATTGAGTCATAAATTTTTTGCATGTTTTTTGAATGTGTTCTTCAATTGCGCTCACCTTTTTTCAGTAATACGACATTGCTAATGACTTTGTGCTTTTTCTTTATTTTCCTTTCAAAAGATTCTACTGATTTTGCATTTTCTAGTCCGCTTTCAGCCTTTCACTAGTGTTAGAACTTGTGGAGTTTTGGTTTTTTCCTAAACTTGAGAGCCGTTTATTACTCTACCTGTATGTATGTATGTATGTATGTATGTATGTATGTATGTATGTATGTATGTATGTATGTATGTATGTATGTATGTATGTATGTATGTATGTATGTATGTATGTATGTATGTATGTATGTATGTATGTATGTATGTATGTATGAATGTATGTATGTATG